GGGAGGAAGGAAGATCACTTTTACGTTGGGGTGACGATCTAACAGTAGGGGCGAGTGTCCTGGTGCGTTGTCCAGCAGCAACAAAATCTTGAATGGCACATTCTGTCGCTCACAGAATTTCTTTACATCGGGAACAAAACAGTCATCAAACCAGGAGAGGGACAGTGGAGAGAACATCCACGCCTTATGTGCGGTCAGCCAGTGGACATTTAGCTTGGTCATGTCCATGGTTTTGTAGGCGTGCGGCTTGCGTGCTGTGTGGATCACCGATAACTTGAGCTTACAGGTACCGGAGGCATTGGTGGTAAACAGGACGGTGATGCGTTCCTTCTGCATCTTCCGGCCCCGAATCTTGCTGGTATTCTTTACAACGAAGGACTTGGAAGGTAGCTTTTTCCAGAAAAGACCAGATTTGTCCATGTTAAACACCTGGTCGTCACTGTACTGTCCTTCCTCCATAATCTCACGTAAAAACGGAGGAAATTCCCTAGCCGCAGCACGGTCAGCACTCGCTTCTTCACCACCAATGTTTATATTGGTGATCTTGTTCCGGATCTTAAACCTCTGTAACCACCCAGAGGAAGCATTAAAGGGTTTGGGCTCTGTAATTCCCATCTTTTGTGCCACTGCAATGTACAGTTCACGTGCGTACTCCTTAACAGAGCGCGTGTCGACCGCCATGTTCCGTCGCGCCTGACGCACCAAGTACCTCACAAGTAATTTTTCTGTCTTGAGAAGCACCTGGTTGTGAAAATACTTGATCATAGAAGCACCTGTAGACTTTGTGATCTTCATGTGCTCCTTTATCTTGGCTGCATCCTTCTTTATTGTTCGAATCGTAGATTCATTCACACCATGCTGGCGCGCCAAATCAACCTGCCTTGTTCCTTTCTCCAACTCTTGGATGATGGTATACTTCACCGCGTAGCTTAAGGAACGTCGTGTCCTCCTTGTCTTAGTACCGCTGGGTCCAGGTAAGGAAAGGTTTCTCTCTGGGGGCGGTGGTCCGGCGGAAGCCATTTTACAGAACAATGGATACACGTTTACACGGTCTGGCGTGGAGGGATGAAACTGGAGCGGCTAGGTCAAGCATCGTCTTTCCTCCCTCCCTCCCTCCTCCGGGTGGACACGTCATAATACTTTAAGCCAATTACAGCTAGCAGCAGAGGGGGTAGGGATGCATGGCCAATCACAGTCCGATACGTCATATGACGTCAGTGATAATGCAACAGACACACACTGCGCAACCTTACCGCGCGGCTTGCCCAGGCGGAGGGAGGAGGGAGGGAGGGAGGCGAGAGCACAGGCAGGCAGGCGGGTGGGGCGAATCTAAAAATAGCGTCGCGCCGGACACTCTCCGCGTAATGGGGTTCACGCACCGCGTAATGTGAGCACGTTAGGTTCTGGCAGGGCACCGCGTTAACGTGGAAACGCGGAATGTGGGACCACGTAAAGTGAGGGTTGACTGTACATATTTTTGCTGCAAGGGGGTAGCATTGTCAAGTAACATTTCACAGTACAGTTGCACTACCTATCATCGCAGAGCAGTCACTATGTAGCCTCAGCACAGTGCCGTTATGGTACCTTAAATTACTATACACCGTTAATAGTTACAGGCGTATAATGATATTCTTATGTGTCTTTATGTTCTTTGGTGCAATTATCCAAGTATGTCATTACAGCAATCACTATACACCTCCAATAGAGCATATTTAACTATTACAGCTGCAGAATAACATCCTTGTATGCTTAAGATGGCCTATTAACAAAGGTTTATGTTCTTTGGTATAGTTATCACAGTTTACCAAAATGACAGGCTGTGAGATAACTAAAGATGTGGTGTGAGTTGAGGTGTTACTAAGACCGGGCAGTAAAACCTCACTCACTTACTCTAGCTGCAACATCAATCTAATTCCTTTCTTGAAACAAAAACCTTAAACAACAAAATATTGGACCTTTGATATAGCTTAGACAGATTTTACTATATATTTCACCACTTAAAAAAATAAATGATTTACACCAGATGAAAAATGCAATAAAGTTTGTCAGTTAAAATTACAACAAGCTGATAAATTAGAGCCAACACAATCCTGATAATTTTGTCATGCTGTATTTGTAGCCTCACACCTTACGAACAATAACATATGTCACAAGTGTAGTGAGAGAGAAGTTGCGGTTTATTTTTAATACCTTTCACTAGTTAAGTGACAGAAAATTCCCAAGCAAAAGAATTACAGAATGCCTCCCTCTCCATGTTGAATATCTACTAATTGTTCTTTTTTGTTTAATTATGTCAAGTTTATAAGAGTCGAAACTAATTTGCCCCATAACGTATTAGTTTTCGAAGTTCACGCTTTGGTTTTGTACAGTACTTAACCCAACAAATTTTTTAAGATTTTCCACATCAACAAACAGTGTCTCTAATAAAACAGTTACAGTGGTCCCTCGATTAACAAACAGTTCAATTAACAAAATTTTGGTAAACAAATTAGCTCCCATAGGATTTTCAGTTCCATTAACGAACAAAACTTTGATTAACGAAAGCCTTACGAGAAACACTCTTTGTTGTGCGCATCAGCTGATCGGCTAGTCCGCCAATACAGTAATTGGTTCTATGTTTACATTCATTTCCAGTGGAGTAAATATCAAGAAAGTTGTGCTCTCGAATATTTTTGCATTTTTTATATTAAAATTATTAGTCATTCTGAAATTTAGTTAACATATTGATAATATATACAGTACAGGGAACAGTTTTTGTGTCCTTCAGCTGATCAAATCACCCACCAACGCTTCTCAGTTTAACTTTGTTTACAGTGGAGTGAACATCGAGTTTGTTAGTCTCTTGAATAGTTTTGCATTTTTACATTAAAATTATTGGTCATTCTGAAATTTAGTTAACATATTGATAATATACAGTGCAGAAATTATTATGAAACACAAAGAAGGCATCAGAACCAATGCACTCTGTAAAGAATATGGCATGTTATCATCGACTGCCTCTACAATCAGCTGTTTGATGTGTAAACAAAGCTGCCAGGAATAAGACATACACACCTAAAGTAAGTTAAAATATAGTATTCTATTGTTTTTTAATTATTATTGTACAGTACAGTATACTGTACAGTACAGTATACTGTATTTAGTTTATATTTAATGTTTTGTTAATTCTATTACCGGTATGCAGTACTTTGTATGTATATTTTTTCTGTGAGTTGGAACCAATTACCCAATATCCCATTGAAATAATAGATTCAGTTAACGAAATTTTCGGTTAACAACCGACTCTGTGGAACCAATTGTGTTTGTTAATCGAGGGACCACTGTATTGACCTATCATGCTGATACCTCTCTTATGATTGATTGGAGATGTTTACACTCTAGAGGTCCTTGCACTTATGATTGTTATGATTGTTCATAGATGTTTGCATTCTAGAGGTCCTTGCTTATGACTGTTCGGAAATGTTTATATCTTATATATCTGGACATATTTTGGAAGCCTCATTTTCTCCAGACATATTAACTCAGTCAGAGAGAATGTGTCAATGCTATTGTAATAATTGTGAGTTTAAATGACAATCTGGTATTTACAGAGGAATGTTACTGTGCATACAGAGTAAATTGATAACCAAATCTCTAATTCAGTGGAGAAACTTGACATTAATAACACAACCAAATGGCCTTTACAGATATTCTTGTAGATAGCTACCACTGTCTTGGACGTATATTGTAGTCACTAAAAGTAAAAATAAATAAAAGTACACGCGCTCCAAAAAGTATCTTTACGATTTTATGAGACAATATGACACAACTGACAAAGGATTTTGACAACCCTACCAAGACAACAGGAGCTGCAATGTTCATTCTGAAATTAATCAGACCCCTCCATAAAGATACTTTTTGGAGCAAATGTATATCTTCCAGTTTCCTTGAATCTTAAACTATTAATTAAAATATGAGAAGTTGAGAACCATGGTATATAATGTGTATTAAATACTAAAATAAATTCATGTTTATTATAAATTAAGTGTAAATAGTACTACAGTAGAACCTCGATAAATCAGACCACTTGTGGCAGACCAGTCCCAAAAATGCAAAAGTTCCCAAAATTTAAATATATGGGGGTTGGAGCTAACACTGCTTATCTGAACTGTTTAAAAAAAACAATTGATGTTATGTTATTACTGCACTTCAACAACTAAGGTCTTTAAGTGTATAACAAGGTTATTAAAAAATATTACCTCAACAATAAAAAAATATGAAATAGAACTCTTTGGGATGAAAATCAGACATACAGTATAAGTCTTGTTGTCACCGTTGTCACCGAGATGATTGTTATTTACTGTAAAGTGTTATATATAAGTAACCACAGAATTTGTCTTATGAATAATGAGAAAATGTATACTGTATAGTACTAAAAAGATAAAAACAAGAACAAATAAATGTAGGAGTATATTGTATGTGGAAGACAAATGTTTATCTGGGAGCAGCTGGCAGAGGGGAGGAAATGGGGGGTAGCACTGGTGGGTACTCCCTCCCCCTCTCTCCCCCAAGATTCCTTTGACACTTCTTTATGCAATTTCACCATATTTCTCATATAATTTAGGAACATTTGGTGCCAGGTTGATAAAATATTATCCTACAAGAATCAGCTTTCCTGAAAATAGATCCCACACTGAACCGAGTCATTTGTTTACAAAGAGCAAACAGCTGACTGAGCTGATTGGCTTACCACAATGTCTGTCTTCAACACTTAGTAAATTGGTACAGTACAGTCATGTATCTATCATCACTTAATAAATACTATTGCAGTTATCCCCCTTAAATAAATACTATTGTGTATTTATCATCACTTAATAAGTAATATTGTAGTGTACAGTATTATGCATCTTCATATACCCTGGTATATTCATTAATCATTTGTCTAAGTGTACAAGCGGCCAAATTGAGCCATCATATAGCACTCAAAGGTAGTAAATAAATTTTTTATAACGGTACCTTCATATCAAATGCTGTACAGCTAATCCTTTTATTATCAAGTCATATTACAAATTACATACAGTATTATATTTTTTCTCTATTACTGAATGTTATATTAATCATGATGAATTATAAACAACAAGAGGCCAATCATATGAAATATAATACTGAATCAATAAATAAATAAACCTGACAAATGCAGCAACACCTGATCAGCCCCAGCCTGCTATAGGTCTACTGAGAACTAAGACACTTCTCAGTAGACCTATAGCAAATCTGATTAGACCACTGTACAGTATTCAGTAAGTGTTGTTCATTTCATAAGATTTATTTATTTATCTGCCCCATTTCTTAAAGTATTATTTGTTTTGTTTTAGTATTTCTGGTGATCAGTGCATCTCAAGAGTCCCCAAAAAGTGAATTACGGTATATTGAAGTCCGATTTACCAAGGTTTTACTGTACTGTATATTTATAAGGAAACCCTCTAATAAAAAGATATAAGCACTTGCTGTTTTTCAAGGCCATGTCAATATGTAGCCCTTTTTTGCGATATTAATACCCCTTTTTTTTGGTCATATATATCAATACCCCATTTTTTCCATACAAAATAGTTAACTGAAGATAACCCAATTTTACCTCATAAATGATTCAAGCAGTAGATATTAATTTTCCTTGTACCTGATGTCCTTCAGCAACAGGCAATGGAAAGAGGCAAGCTAGACTTCAAGCTTTTAAATTATCCTTTACGTGTTGTGGAATCTTGGCGCTGTAGAATGCATGATTTTGTCCCGGTGCCGAGGCGAGGACTCCAGTTGAGTTCCTGTATTAGATGAGAGCAATGATCAGTCAAGACTCCAGACCAGACTCTATTACTGTAATGTACATACACTCCAAAAGTATCTTTACGGAGGGGTCCAACGAATTTCAAAAGGAACACTGCGATTCCTATTGTCTCGAGAGGGTTGCTAAAATCTTTAGTCCATTGTGTCAAATTGTCTTGCCAATAAATCATCAAGATAATTTTTTTGGAGCGAGTGTACATAATGTGAATTTGAATAATATTACATGATTGAAATTTGTCATGGTGGAAATTTTTTTCAGCAGAACTATACCAACAGATGTATATTTTCGATCTTTATTTGTTAGGAAGTTATGCATTGTAATACAGTACAGTAATATCTCCATTAGCCGGAATCCCTCAAACTCGGAACTCTCCGATAGCCGGAATTGAAATTTTATCCGAAAATCGTTCCCTTAGCCTGAATTTTTTTTAAATTCCAGCTTTCAGAACGATTTACTGGGGGGCACATTTTCTGGAAAATTCTGAGCATGGGGGATTTTTTTCCGGGTTTGAGAGATGAAAATCAGGCCCATTTTCCAGAAATCCCGAGAAAAATATTCCAGTAGCTGAAAAATTCTGGGGATGGGGGGATATATTTCCAGGTTCAAGAAATTATATAATGGGCAAATTCTGGAACTTTTGATAACATTTTTCCTTTACTCGGAAAATTCTGGTGATAAGGGATATTTTTCCGGACTTTGAGAGAGTTGTCTCGTTACCGGGAAATCTCTCATTACTGGAAGTGTTCTGCACCAATTGTTCCGGCTAACAGAGATATCATTGTACTTCCATAATCTCAAAAGCTTTATAGGTAAAACATGCTGGTTTTATTTTACAGTACAGTACTCAATGAACTACTCATAAGTCTTTTTCTTGCTTTGGTAAACTTCCACATGTGTTCTAATTTCTATCTATAAAATTATATAGGTCATTAACCCCTTCACTTTAGGAACACACTTCTGATATTCTATTTGGCTAACAGCAGATGATTTTGTTCAGCTCAGAGGCGACACCATACACAAGTCTTATAATGGGTCAAATAAATTTATAGAGACCCAATATTTCAAGACAAATTAAGAGGTCTTAGATAATTACTGTATATACACAGGGGGTCCCCGGATTTGTATGTAAGTTGGAACACATACTATGTGCATACCGTAATTACAGAACAATGTTTAAAATCCTACTATATCATAACCTAAGTCCTTATATACATCTAAAAAAAATCAGGTAAATAAAATGCTGTAAATTTCAAATTTAATCCAGTTTGTATCGGCGGGCGTTCGTAAGTCGGGGACCCCCTACTGGCTATCTGTACAAAGGTAATACTGTAGTTAATAACATACCTGAAGGGGACAGAAGCTTGGTAGGGGATGGGTGAGCCCTTGATATCAGTTAAAATTCCTCCAGCAGCTTGTAGTATCGCCTCAGGAGCACATGTGTCCCATTTCTTACACCCGGGACTTGCAAATACATATAAGTGAGCCTTTCCCTCAAGAAGTAGCATAACCTGTAAAGTATTTTCCCTACGTAAATAAGTTGATGAAGGGAAGGATAAACAATACACATTAAACTCATTCAGAATCTTTTTGCTCATGAATCAACAATACACCTGTACCACATTTTATTAAGTTATAACACACACACACACACACACACACACACACAAAAACACAAAATACTACTACTACTCTTTGCCATCACTCGGAATCGAGAATGACGATCATCCAGCTATGATACAATGACGTGAGTTATTAGGTATGTCACCTTCATTGGTGAGTTTTGAGGTGACTAAAGAGGCCGATATTGGACCAGCAGAGTCGTTCACTTACATTGCACATTTGGAGGGCTAGATCTAGTGCAGGAGGGGCGGTGGCAGAGTCTTTCAGGCATTGGCACTCGTCTGCCTCGGTTTGCAGTCGGGCTAACTCGAAAGTATTGACACCTTCTCTAGTGGTGCTCCTCCAAGTGTTACAATATGGAGTAATCGACTCCCAGGCGGGGGGATCAATTTGGCACTTTCCAGTTGCCCACGAGGCATTACGTTTACTATTCATTAGGTGACTGTAAAGTAACTGCTTTGGCAGTCTACTGTCGTCCATGCGGGTAACATGGCCAGTTCAGCATAGTTGTTCATGGATAGTGGTAGCCTCGATGCTCCTACAGTTGGTGTCAGCAAGAATATTGGCATTTGTTCTTGTCTTCCCAGCGACAAAAAAAAAAAAAAACACGCACGCACACACACACACCTAACCTAACCCCACAGGTAACATTAGGGTGGTTAATCTTCAGGTGAAATAAGATGGAAGGGGGAATTTTCAGGTGATCCATAACAATATGGCACATTTGCATAAACAGGAGAGCTTCAATATGAAAGTATAAGATATCCATGAATTATCCAACCCATTTGATAAACTTAATAAACACCAAAAATATTATAGATAGAACACACCAGTTTATTATAATCAACAAATATTACCTAAATTTTTTCTTACCATGGTTGACCGTGTTCATGTTCTATCCATAATATTTTTGAGGTACGTGTTTCTGTAAATAACCTTTAAACTAGGTCGGGTAGTCTATGGACACACAGCACAGAAATATCAGTAAACAGTGAAACCTCCATAAAACAGACTTCTCTCTCCATATAGTCTATTAAATAAAGGTTTCATATATCTATCTCACCTTATGACCTGCTCCACCAACTCTGAGCACCTCGTCAGGGCACACGGCATCAACAGCGTCAGTAACAGTCGAGGAGGAGTGTGACCTTGTAGTGGTGACAATCAACTTCCCTTCTGGTGGGGCCACGATAGGCATCCCACCCACTGTTCCTCCTACTACTCCCCAGATGGTGCGACCCAGTTCACTCCTGCAATGCCACAATATCAACACTATGAATGATTTTAAAAACCAGAGAATGATTAAGCTATTGTGAAGGTCTCCGATAAAAAATATACACATGGAGAAATTACTTGTTTTCAGTGTCTTCTTCTAGATCGGCCATGTTACAAACAAGAAATCAGTAACTGGTCGCAGCCATCCCACAGTATAATTATGCAATATGTATTAAATTTACAAAAATAAAATATGAAACTGGGCATTAGAAAATACTGCATAGAACTAAACCATGTATTCAGACAAGTAGGTAGTAGGTATTAGGCAGCTACCAATCAGGGAGGTACTACTGCCTGGGAAGATATTGGAAGCATAATGTGTTGTCTATGGTAGACCCTGCTGCCATATGGCATCACGAAAATTGTGACCAAGTCCCAGGTTGCTGATCTGACTTTCTGTTTCATTTATACACAATTGCAGGGTCTCAATTGTTTCTCTTAATATTGACAACACAACATACATGTACGTATTGTTTCTCACTTAATTTTTTTTAATTTTGTATTTCTTTATGGTTGTTTATTATTACTACGTGTATTATTATTATTATTACATTTTCGCCCCCTAAGCCCCGATGTGGGTCAGTGACCTGTGCCTGGGTGGGCTAATCCCCGTAAAAAAAAAAAAAGAAAAAAAAAAAAGTACAGTATTGGTACACACACAACAAATATTTAAGTAACCTAACAGGTGGCAATAAATATTAATACAACATAAAATTATGTTTCACATTCAACAATACAAAGGAAATGGTTACTAAGACTCACATGAAACTCAACTGAATATCCTCTGCAATCTTTGTGAAATGTAGTTCAAATTTAGTAAAAGCTGATTCCACAACTTCCTTTTTGTGATTGTAAGTGAGCTTTGAGCAGTACAGTACTTGTTCTTTACATAAGTCTGCTGGTTACAGTAGGTTGACCCAAACATTGAAAACACTATGAAATCTACTCGTTTCAGTGTTACCCAATTAATTTTTTTCCCCAAAGTCCAACAATGAGACTGTGATTTTGTGAGTGTACTTCAGGATATTAACCTGCAGCCTGCAGATCCAGGAATCTACAGTACAGTTGTGCATCAAGATGTCCCTTGTCAATAGGATTGGAAATAAATGAGAACAAACATTTCTTACTCTGTATCTCAGAAAAACTATCTGTAAATTTTTACTGTAAATGTTCCAAAGATTTTATGTACAGTGTTTGTGCTACCAGCTTCCAGGTATAATGTTCCCCAGTTTTACAAAGACTATCAGATTAGGTGTTGGCTGCATTGAGTATTCAAATAACCTTATCTTGCCTTAATAACTTAGTTGGCAGCTCATCACATATTTTGGATGCGATCATGCTGGCCACAAATATATGAGGGTTGTGGACCCGTTCTAAATACAGTATTCGTGTTATTTTTCTCGTGAGATTGGGGGCAGTTAATCTAACCCATACAACAAGGTATGAATCTGATAAACAGTCTCCTTCACTAATTCTAACTCACCTCTCTTGTACAAACAAACATACTTTTGTTACTCAATTATGGTAAAAACTCAGGAGAACACTTCAGCTTACAACCCATAGGATCAGAAAATGGCCACAATGGCATTCAACTGGTAGTATAAAAATATGTAGAAAATTAAGTCTGTGATGGATATGGTTCAAATTTAGATACCAACAGCTGGCAACAGTTTCTTTCACGGGGCAGCACAACTTAGTTGACACATGCTTGTTAACATTTCAAGACTGTGAGTGAGCACACCTCTAGTTTTGTGCTAAATGTGAGTGTGGGTGGAGTGCTTTCCTTGCCTTGAAGATTTAAACAGACCGCTTCACCTTTGCTGACCTTAGCAATAATTGGTAACAAATCTCAAAATAAACTTATAACCTAAATTTCAAATGAACTTTCACTCTGGACTAACACTCACCCTGGGTTCTGATAGTTGTAGTAGGGCTGATGAATGACTCCTCCTACAGCCTTACCCCCAGACGCAATCCCAATCAGCACCGTGACGTGATCAAGGAGACCTGCCGACAACACCAATTATCACCACTTATAAAAACTGCCTCATTATTGTTTAATCTCAAGGAAAATTTTGCTCAACTAATTTAACAGTGATTGAATTAAACAATTAAAACAGATTATCAGAGGTTGAAAATATTTTCACACACAATATAGTTGCTTATTGGCCTAACCACTGTGAGTTTAATGTCAAGATACAAGAAAGTAAAGCTTAATTTAGGACCAAGGAAACATTACTTCTCTCTGGTGTATAAAAAGTGATTACAGGGTATATACAGTACATGCACAGTACTATACAGCATTTCCATAAATAATCTGACCTACAGTGCAGTAACTTTCAAACATATTATCATAGACACTGACAAACCACTATTAATGTGTTTTTTTGGTTTACTCTTCCTAGTAAACTTCTGCATGTGTACTACTTGTTGCTTGAGGATGTGCGAGGTAGTTTGAGGTTAAGTTTTAAAATGGGTCAGAGAATTTATGAATATCCTGTCTAACAATTTTCATTTTACACACTCAGCAATTGCCAGTTGTTAAATAATTACAGTGAGGGAGGGAATATCACAGTTATAATACATCACAACAAAGTTCAACTAAGCTCTTAACAATCTACAACTGTTGTGTTAATATGAAAAAAAAAGAAAAAAAAAAGATCATACATAAAAAATAAAACCTCTTCAATTTCTTTCTTTTTATGCTTCATCCCTACACTTATTTCACCTTATGATTAACCACCCTAACACTAACCTAATTTAAATTAAATTAATCTAATCTAACAACTTATTATAATCTAATCTAACCAAACTTAATTTACACTAACCTATCCTAACCTGCCCTAGTTTAACAGTCTAATCTACAGTAATCTAACCAAACTTAAAGTAACCTATCCTAATCTAATCTAGCCTAGTCTAACAGCCTAATATAATCTAACTTAACCTAATCTCCAGGTAACATTAGTGTGATTAATTTTAAGGTGAAATAAGCTGGGGACAAATCTTTAAGTGGTCCATAATATAAACCACAATATCTATGTCTCTTACACTCTCACCTACTTACCATACACTAAACAAAACACATAAGATTCCTTCACACAATGAAGTGCCATTATGCTGTCTGTGTGTGAGGTTCCAGTGATGTAGACAAGGACGAGACCTTTTGTTATTTTCGTCTTTATTGATTACCTGAAGATTTACCCCGTGCTTACCTGAAGTCACCCCCCCCAGCATAATCAACCTGAATTTTAACCACCCCAAAACTGTATGGGGTAGCTAATCTTCAGGTGATCTATGAAGGGTAAAAGTGCAAATGGGCTTTTTCTCAACTACATTACAGTACATCACTGCAAAACACATATCAAGTTAAAGAAAGTTTATCCACTAATCAGTATTATTTAAATCAGAAGGTTATTTGCTCATTGCATTTATAAAAAATTCTAAAATCTCAGCTATCCAATAGCTCGGTCAAGTTTAGCTTATTTACTAGTAATAAACTTCCTTAATACATGTGGTAAGCCAGGAAGAAAGGGGTGCGTGCCAGGCAGGTGGAAACTACTGTACACACAATCTAACTAACTTTCACATGTCACTCCAAGTGTCTTACAAACCCCCTGATGGCCACTCTTCCTGCATTCGTAAGCTTGCACGTAAGATAGGGAGGAAAATTCATTAGAAGAGAGTTTTTGATTATATGAAAATATCAATTCTATCTCCACTATGTACAAAGAAAACCTTACATAAGATTTAAAATTGCTCCAACATAATTAATATTTTGTTTATGCACACACAAAAAATACAATACAATCAATAGTGTTCCTAAACTTGCAGTTCCAAACTAGATTCCATGGACCCCTTGGACTGATGAAAGCTGCATAGATATCAGTGAGTTTTTTGGGGAAGGATTAACTTTTAAACTTGGACTTTGTGATAAATAGCAAACGGCCACCCAGCCACCCAAATGCTACACCATGAGCCATGGGAATGCTGTAATTATTCTTTCTCTACTTTTTTTTCAAATAAATATCACTTAGATAATTAAAACAAAAAGGCTCACAGACTTCAACTAACCAAGTACTGTATGTCTAAAGACACGTCACTTTCCTCTGCTGCGTCACTGTCAAGGTAACTCTCCTCCCCAGTCTGTCTCTCTTCCCCAGTCTACCTCTCTTCTGCCTTTGTCTTCCCAGAGGCTGTCTTGTTCCCAGTCTGTCTCTTTCCAGACTCAACACTTTCTGAATTTTCATGTCTTAACTGATGGAAAAACTGTATTTCTTGGGTGCAGTACTAGCAAGACTGTTTGCAGGATGTTTTCCAGGCAGTGATGGATTTTTTAATGGACTAAAAAATAATCCATGCTATTTCAGACTTCAGCGACTTATATCATACAGGGTATATTGTTCCCTAATTATTAAACAACAATGCTGTTTGGCACAGCATAAATCAGCGAATGCCTGTATGACACAACGAATAAAGGCTTTGGACAACCCTACCTAGACAACAGAAGTTACAGTGTTCATTTCATTTTCTGCTGTAACACTGTCAGGATAAATATTAAACAAACCAAAGGTAACATTTTTATAATAATAAACTATTCATCATTATTTTAGATCATGAGAAATTTCAAAATATTCACATATTTGCTTAAATAATGAAGAAAATTTGACGTGAGAATCTTGTGGCATCTGTGGTTGTAGATGAGTTGCCAATTCATTAATATAATTTTCTTAATAATTTAAGCAAATATTTAAAAATATGGAACTTCTCATGATCTAAAATAATGATGAATAGTTAATTATTATAAAAATGCTACCTTTGGTTTGTTTAATATTTATCCTGACAGTGATACAGCAGAAAATGGATCCACCAATCACAATCACCTTTACATACAGCCTTACTTTATCAAGTATTGCCTGGTAAAATTGCGAGTACGAGACCCAAGGTGGGGTCAGTGTTTCTTTGGTTGACTGCACATGACTCCTCAGTTGAAAATATACTTACAACACTGTAATATTTACAAACTGCTTTACACCTGTAATACGGGTGAAGAAATATTAAACATATATGATTCATGCATGAAAAAAATTAAAAATATCCAGGCATATGTATTTCAGTATAATGTATGTAGTACTGGAGTTAAGTCTGTGGTAGACCTGAGTAAAGTAAATGTCAGGTGCTGTGGAAAGCATAAAAATAGACCTCCATTCATTAAACATAATCACAGCTGTCCTCATCACCACCACACACTTACACTGCAATAATTAAAAGATGTATGCAATGAAGTATTCAAAACTGTATCTTTTATAAAACCCAGACCACTGAATTCGAAGATATTTGCTACATCGTACGAAGAAACGGGGAAATCTGTAAAAGACACGTATACACTAGGGTTTCATGGAGATACATACAAATGACAATTTCACGGCCTGGTAAAATTTGAAAACTTCTCCCCGAAGCTATCCCTTGAAACAAAGAAGCATCACTGAATAAGACAACACACAATACTGTACATAATAAATAACGGAGATCCTGAGGCTATGGACAACACAAGATTCACAACTTTAAAGCATAAGAGTTTAAACCCCTTACAGTACAGTACTCATTGTACTCACAGTAATATGTATCAAAGACCAGCAATTAATACTTGTCTAAGTAAATTTACATTACAGTATAATCTAATGAACTTTGTATGATATTCATGAACCTGAGGTGATGTTGATTCTTTGGGTAATGACAGACAGACAGACAGACAGATTTCACAAAAAGGTCTGCCAAAAATATTAAGATGTACAATTTATATAGATCTGGAGAAGATAAACTGCGAGAGTTCTAAGAGGTGTTTATAAGGTCAGACTATTACCTTGTGTATACTCAGCAGTACCATCTAAAGGGTCCACCCACACAACAATCTGAAAGACAGGGAAGTGTAAATCCAGAAAAGTTTGACAATCTTTTTTTTTACTATACCATCATAAAGCTCTGAAATTTTGCCTAATGGGACAGCTAAAATAGGTTCGTAAACAAGAATGACGAATGTCTTCTTTTACTGTAAGTTTGCATTGAAAGAGAATATCAGTTTACACAATAATAATTTTACTTAATGAGCAAGAGGGGATCTTAGCAACTGAAAAATCCAATCATTTTAAATCTTGGTCTCAAAATAATCATACTGCACAAGGGCAGAACCAAGGGGGGTCCTAGGGATTCAGACTTCCCCTTTCACCAGAAAATTCCAATACTTTTTCTTTAATGCAGTATTGTACTCAGCCATTTTTGTATAGTAAAAAGTATTTAGTATTGACTTTAGAATATCTCCTAATATCAAGTGCACATGGCTTCATAATGGCCTCAAAATCCCATGATATTGGGTGGGCTTGCTGCGTTTGCCAAGTTCCCCCACCCACAACCTCTTGGACCCCCCCTCCTTTAGATATTCCTGGATCCCTCCCTGCTGCACTTGTTTGAGAATTACCATGCTTCCTAACAAAGTAGCAACTGCCTGAATAGCTAGTAAGATGATAAAGTGGTGAAATAATAAAAATAATATGATGAAGATGCAAGAGGGAAGTAGTAAAGTTCTGCTCTACAGTAAAATAAAAATAAAATAAAACAATTTCAGAAAATTAAAAGTTGCAGAAGTTTGCCAGGTTTGCATAAGCATGAATACTGTATTGATTAACCTGATAGGTTTACAAATGATCAATTACAATGGCAAATAGGGAGCAGTTAAGTCAAATAACACTGACGGCACCTCTTCTTCTCCCAGTGAGGCCAAGTGCGGTGGGCAGGTGACTTGTATCGTACTTTCAGGTGTGGGATCATAGACCTTACCACTAATCTGCTTTGATTCTTCATCTCCTTCTTCCCCTGCAAGATAAAAGAATCATTATTTTTACATTTATCTCTTACACAAAGAAAGACTTTTAACTACACTAGTGTGTTAACTTACAGCAGCTTGAGAAATCTTTCACCATCAAAGTGAGTACACCACAGGGTATTGATGACTGCATGAGATCAGTGTTTAAAAAAAAATGCTATATCAAGAAGGATTTCTTTTTAATTTATTTAGTATTTTATGTCAATGTTGGCAGAATTATCTTTGATTTGGATTTACATATTCTTAAAAGATTACTTCAGCCCTACTCACCTATGATGGTGATTTTTGGGAAGCACTGACTGAGGGAGCTGATGATACACCTCTGAGCTGCTCTGTCTGCCTCGGTCTGGAGGTCCCGAGCATTCTGACCAAAGAAACCTTGTACAGTACAGCCTCTGATGCATGACAACCACTTACAACATTCAGCAATCCTGATGACTTGGTAACAACAAGTAAATGGGCATTATTTTGACTGATAAGTAAACGTTTAATCATCAAAATTCCGACTCCAACAATAGCAGGGTGAGATGTTGTATTGCCTGTGCTATAATGTCCTCAGTTACTTGGTTTGTGTCCAGGGTAAAATAAATAAATAAATAAAATAAATTTATAAATAACAAATAAATAAATAAAATAAAATAAATGACATGCTACAACCCGAAAGTTGGGAATGCTGTACAGATGCCATAGCTACTTCACTCCTGAGCAGTTGCTCCAAGTATATAAGGGATTCATTCGTCCTAACTTGGAGTACTGCTCTCATATCTGGGGTGGCTCTTCTTCTGTCCAACTATTAGATAGGGTGGAATCAAAAGCATTTCGTCTTATTAACTCTCCTCCTTTAGTCGACAATCTCTCTCCCCTTTCTCTTCACCGCAATGTTGCTTCACTCTCTCTCTTTTACAGGTACTTTAACGGGCAATGTTCGGTGGATTTGACATCCTGTGTACCACCGGCAAGGCCGTGGGCTCGTAACACACGTCTTGCCCGCGGTGCCCATTGTTTCTCTGTGGATGTCGGTCACACGAGAATAACCCGTTATAGTACCTCCTTCTTTCCTCACACAGCCAAACTGTGGAATGCCCTGCCTTCTTCTGTGTTTCCATACTTATACAGTCTGTCTCACTTTAAAAAGCTGGTTTTCCGGCATCTTCGTGATATAGATTAACACAATACTGTATAACCTTTTAGTTCTCTATTTTTAATTTCTTTGTTCTTTTTTTTTCGCCCCCCAGGCTCCGTTGTGGGTCGTTTGACCTGTGCCCGGGTGGGCTAATTCCCGTAAAAAAAATATGGACGTCTCAATGCCATGGCAGCAGTAACACTTATTTGTGATATTTGTATAAAGTGAATACCTGTACTGTTGTTGATTCACAAGTCAACGTCACTACAACAAGTGTAAAATTGCAATAGCTTTAGACTAAGAGCCACATCTTACTTAATCATCAGGTGTAATATAAAACTGGGGTGTCAAATTTTCAGGTGATCCAAAATTACCAAAAAAATTAAGGACTTAACAGTAACATCAATATCATACTGTACCTCTTTCTGAACGATGCCCAACTCCCCTTTCTTCAAGACGTCTCGGATGATTTTGCCAGCATGATTTGCAATAGCTACAGATAACGACACAATCCTAGAGAGTACTGGTGCACTTAGTGATGCTAAAGACATCTTGAAGGTAGAATCTTCTCACCAGCTGCCTCAGTTACTTAGTTGATTGAAACTTTCTCTTATTTACAGGTCTTGTGACTGAAAGTAAAATAAAAACTCTTACTGTTTAATACACAATAATTGGTAAATTTGCATTTTCAAACAATATGGCTCTTGAGTTGAGCTCAACTCAAAAACCAACCTAACCTAACCTAGAATGAATACCTTAAGTAGCAGTGAAGGGTCCAGGACTGGCCTGAGAGGCTCGTAAAGGGCTGGTGGAGGGTGCCTATTGGTTGAAAATGCAACAATACCTAATAATTTTTTAATCAGTTGATAATTTGGTTGGTTAGGTTAGGTTAGTTTTAGAGTGGTTAATTTTCAGGTGAAATAAGCTGGGGTCAATTTATGATAGTAGCCAGATTTCAATTTTTCCATAAAAAAAATTCATTTTCACATAGTTCAAACTATTCTAAGACACTTTTCTTTTACGGCATTTCTGTCATTAATTTATATTTTTCGAGTATTTTAATTGATAAAATTACCAACAATATTACTAGCTTTAAGTGTAGGGCTTTAAAGTCAAGGGAAAATGGTGGGGGTAAAATACTAAAAATAACACCAGACAAACCTTTGAAAACCTGACCTAACGTTTCCTAACGAGCCGATAAGTGGCAAAAAGGATAACAGTAAAAAGTATGAATCCTTCATCTGAACACCGAAAAAACCAATAACATACTAAAAATTGAAAACAGCACCATCACCAAGTGTGAGCTCATTCAAGGCCAGATTTGACCAACACTGGAACAGGTTCCGATAGATTCAGAGGCCAGTGCATGCCCAATACTTGCCACCAGTACATAACAAAGACGTGACCAACAGCCCAAGCAGCCAACGAGCCGATCAATGACGAAGAGGATAAAAGTAAACACCGAAAACATTTTATAGTTTTAGGATTTTTAGAGGTTAGGAAACGTTAGGTCAGGTTTTCAAAGGTTTGTCTGGTGTTATTTTTAGTATTTTACCCCACATTTTCCCTCAATTTAAAAGCCATGACCACTTTAACCAATTACAGCTGTAATATTGTTGGTAATTTTGTTAAAAATACTCGAAAAATATAAATTTCTGAGTGTAAATGCCATAGAAGAAGTGTCTAAATAGTCTGAACTAATTAAAAAACGTATTTATTTATGGAAAAATTGAGACCTGGTTACTATCATAAAGATAATTATATAGGACTAACCCGTGAGCGAAATTGATTGAAAACAATTAGAAAAATGCCGGATTTTCATTGTTATATTATAGTGGACACTGTTGTAGTTTGTGGAAATATGTTAACCCTTTGAAGAAGATGTTTTAACCCTTTTTTGAGAACTAATTTTTAACCCTCTGAGAACTATGGTTTAACCCCTCTTGGACTATAGTTTAACCCTTTGATGACGATGATGATTAACCCACTCGTTCTTAAAGGGTTACAAAATGGATATTTTTTAAATAAACGCTACTTAACATCTGTGGTTATGAACATAAGAAAATAAGGAGTCTGCATTAGGCCGGTTGGCCTGTGCATCGACGCTCCTGTCGATTGTTACAACCACCCTCTATCATCCATGAATCTATCTAGCCTCCTTTTAAAACTTTCCAGCATCCCAACACTTACTACAAAGTTGCTAAGCTTGTTCCACTCATCTACCACCCTATTTGTGAACCAGTTCCTTCCTATCTCCCTCTTAAACCTAAACTTATCCAACATAAATCCATTGCTACGAGTCCTATCCTGCTCGGATATTATAAGAACTTTATCTATATTGTATCTCCTTTATTGACTCCTTTCACCCACTTAAATACTTCTGTCATATCTCCCCGCACTCTTCGTCTTTCTCGGGAATGCAAGTTTAGTTTCTTTAATCTATCTTGATATGGAAGGTTTTTAAGTCCCGGAATCATTTTCATCATTCTTTGCTGCACCGACTCCAGTAAATTGATATCCGTTCTATAATAAGGGCACCAGAACTGAGCAGCATAATCAAGGTGTGGCCTGACTAGCGCAAGATATAATTGCAATATGACCTCCGCAGTTTTATTACTTACACTTCTACAAATAAAACCTAATACCCTGTTAGCCTTATTTTGAGCATTAACGCACTGTTTTCTAGGCCGTAGATCCGGGCTTACAAGTACCTCTAAGTCTCTTTCACAAGTCGACTTCTCTAGGTTGATGTTAAGGCTGTATACATTGACAGTGTTTGTTCTTCCAATATTAAGTATGCTGCACTTGCTGGTGTTGAATATCATTAGCCATTTTCCTGACCACCCCTGCAGTTTATTTAAATCCTCCTGTAGTGCATTTGCATCCTGCCCTGAATTTATCTGCCACCTTATTTTGGTGTCATCTGCAAACTTGCTTATGTAACTGCTGATTCCAGTATCTAAGTCCCAGAATAATTTTCGTCATTCTTTGCTGCACCAAATCCAGTGAATTGATATCCATTCTATAATATGGGCACCAGAACTGAACCAAACCAAACCTAACCTTACCTAACTTTCCCAGTATATTAAACAGGAAGAACTTACTATGATATGGTGAAATTTGAGGCGGGTTAGTCCTATATATTAACCGGTGACCGGATAAAACCCCAACGGACAAAACCCCAGTCTCAAATATAAAATAAAACACTTTTAAGCTTAGGTTAGGATAGGTTAGGTTAGTGTTGACAAATGGGGTTTTGTCCATTGGGGTTTTGTCATGGAACCATATTAACCAATGATACTTTCACCTGTATATTGTGACTCATAGACCTTCATTGCTTTGGTAAATTATCACAATTATCAGATTTATTCATTTTTTAAGAACAATTAGATTCACTCCTTTAAAAGCAGATGTACTAAAATTAACATGCGTATTACCTCAATCCAGCTGTATTAAAGCTCTGATTACCACTAGGGTACCTACCAGCAACAGCTTCTGGAGTAAAAATTCAAAGTAAAATGTAGATAAAAAACATCCACCTAGATATGAATTGTTCCACGTTACAAACACATAAAGGTAAAATTGAAAAACTGTTTACTTTCACTCTCTCTACCGTGATCTGATAACACCAAGTAAATCTTGAGTCATGGTTACAGTAGTTTTTATCCTCCCCACAGGCAGCTACTGTACACCTCACCCCCCAACTACTACCACTTACCCTTGAGTCTAGTACTGTAAAGTAGGTGCCCTGGTGTAGGAGGTGGTGTGGGACCGAAGTAGAGGTGCACAGTAACAATGACACTGAGAGAATGAAATGAATTAATTAATACATGAGTCACGACTTTCTCAATCAACTGGTGCGGTTGTTGACATGGCGGTGTTGTCATTCGCTGAGTCGGCTGCTCTGCCTATAACTCGCTCCTCTTAGCACTAACTGCTACTGATTTTATTCCCATCAACCCTCAACGGGCCCTGGGAGGGGAGGGGGGGGGGAATAAGAGTAAAAAAGAAATTAGAAATAGAGGAGAAAAGGACCATATTAATCTACACCACGAAAATGCCGGAAAGCCAGCTTTTTAAAGTGAGAGATTGTAAGAGTATGGAACACAGAAGGCAGAGCATTCCATAGGAAATATCTTGTATGCATCGGTGTGAACTTAATACACCTCGTATCCTCGTATACACCCACGACATGTACAGTGATCAGAAAATCTTATGTCTGTGTTCAAATAGTGCAATGTGTGAGAGGAGGATCCCTAATTACAGTTTTAAGTGACGTCACTGACGTGGATATACCTATGTCGTGATCATTCAGCTTTTGTACCCGCCTCGAGTGTGACGCGTTGATATTATAACCCAATGAATTTACCTACGAAGTAGCGAACCAGAACCTTACTTTACTGTGTAATTTAGGATTAAAATATGTGTTTATAAGACATGAGGTTACAATATACAGGAAAGTGTTCATGTGAGAACCGTAAGAAATAAAAGAAAAAATTAAAGATTGGAAACTGTAGACCTACCCGGTGATGAGGAGGGGGACACTACCCTCAGTGTCCTCCTTTCTACTGTCGGGTACGTGATATTTGGTTCACACTCAGGATGGGATGGAGAAAGGAAACTCACGATGTGCTCTCTGTATACATATTATATTGGATGTAAAATGCAGCTTGGTGGCTGGTGCTGGGAGGAGGCAGCGTGGTTACAAGCGTGAGTGGGGAGAACTGGTGTTGCTTGCTGCGGCTGTAGCTAGAGAAGGGGCAGGTTGTAGTATCTTGGGTTATTTAATGGGAGAATGAAGAGTCACATGGTCTGTCTGGCTGGCTGTTTATTCTCTGTTCTTGGTTACTACGTGCCTAACACATTTTGTAAGAAGTAACATAATATATAATATATACATTCAATAAAGGCAGCATATAAACATACATATATTTAACACTATTTTTCCCTTTCAAAAGAGAGCATGGCTGCTACAAATCCTAAATAAACAAAACTTACAGAATTACATATGGCAGGGAAGAAGAGAATAGAACACAACAAATATAACTTCCTAACTAAACAGTTTTGAAAGGCCTGTTCACAATTCAGATAATTAGAGGTTCTAATTTAATTACAGGTCTCCTACCTCTGTTTGATCTTCTAGGACTATTCCCTCCATCAAGTTTTACAGGGGTTTTACTTGCACTCTGTGCATTATCAGTGACAGACATATCATCACTACAATTAGTTGACACAGTGAGTGGATGCTGGGAAACATCATCTTTGACATCATCATCATCATGATCATCTGAAACTGTGTCAAGTTTATCATCATGTCCTGGTGCTACATTCATCTCGTCATGTGCCTGAATGATGTGATCCACATGAACATATCTCAAAAAGTTACCACTGAAAGTTACTAGTGTGCCCTGAAGAATGCAGTGATGGCTAGGGAAACACTGAGTAACACTGAGTCCGTTTATTGTGGATGAGAGAAATACAAGTGGTGACTCGCGTGTGCCATGCACGGCTCACACAGTCAGACTGGGGCGCCTTGCCATATGGCAGCCTCGGGGCAATGTTGCCACATAACACGTGCAGTGTTGCCACGTGATTATATATATAAATGCTACTCGGCACAGTAGCTTATGTACAGGGTTGCTACTCGGCACAGTAGCTTATGTACAGGGTTGCTACTCACAGTAGCTTAGATACATAACCTACATCTCCCTCCCCCCTCACGCTCATAGTCTTTGTCTTGAGCGGACTTCTTAGTCCTAAGTCGCTCCGAGCGTCGAGGTGCACTGTGGGGCGGATCCTCGTGAGGTGTAGGTGACTCGTCCTCGGTCAGGGGGCCAGCAGCAGGGGGTGGGACTGGCCGGAGGAAGCGGCGGTTCCTCCACCAGACACGGCCGCTCGGCATCCTGACCTTGTAGTCCCGCGACCGGCCGACGCCCATCACTATGCCCACCTTGTCCCAACGTGTCGTCGTCGGGTCCTGGACGCGGGCAAGGGCACCAATCTCCAGTGGCTGAAGAGGGCGGGCACGGTCGTCATACCGAGCCTTGGCGTCCTGGGCACGTGAAGCGGCGCGGCGGTAGCAGCTCTCGGCTCTGGTCTGCCAGTCCTTCGCAAAGGCCTTGGCGTGTGCAGGAACGCAAGAGCTGAGAGGTTGACCATACAGGGTCTGGGCAGGGGTAACCCTGGGGCGTGTGGTCGATTCCACCCTCCTGATGTGACTCCGCTGTTGCTTGGGGCTGCGTGGGCCATCTGGAGGGGGCTGCGTGCGAACCACCCCGAGGGAAGTGCGCTGCTGTCCTCCTCGTCTCGGGCTTTTGGGCTTGGGTTGGCGGCAGCACTTGTCGTAGTGTCCATAGCGACCACAGGCCTGACACTTGTGGCCTCGTGCAGGGCACCTGTCTGTGTTAGACCAGTGGCCCTTACGGTCACATCCACGACACAGTGCGTCGGCGGCCGGGCAAGTCTTGGGGCTGTGCTGCTTTCCACAGCTGCCACAGGAAGCACTAGGCGGAGGCGTGGAAGAACGTGTGGCAGCCTTCGCGTTGTTGGCCGCCTTCTTATCCTTCTTGTATTGTGAGATAGCTCTCACAGCAGGTGGGGCCCGTAAGGCAGAGGTGGCGGACTTGGTGGCCTCGTATGACCGACATTCAGTCACTACCACCTGGAGTGTGGAGGAAGCGTCCAGGGGGATGAGTCGCTGCATCAACTCTTCGTGCCTGACACCTGTCAAGATCCCGTGCTTGATCCAGGCTTCCTCACATTCCCGGCTGTGCGCCTTGCAGACGTCGATCTCCTCTGACAAACTCTTCAAGCGTACAAAAAAGTTGTCAAAGGATTCGTTCTCCGCCTGCTTGCAGCTGGTGAAGGCGCGGCGACGCAAAGCCTCGTTGTTCCGACCCTTAACATGCTCCTGTAAAAGGTCGAGCACATCCGTCACTGAAGAGGTAGAGTCGGGAGGCACTTGCAACGTGTGCTCCAAAACTCTCTGGGTCTCCAGCGACAAACACATCCGCAGTTGGATGAGCTGTTTGTTTGGAGGCATGCTGTCAAGGTCCACCATCGTGGAGTAATCTGTCCAACGCCGCCTCCACTCACGAAAAAGCTGAAACGTGACGTCTGGTGAGAGGGCGGGTGGGGGTTGAACAGATGCCTTGGGAGCTGTTGGGGTAGCAAGAGTACCTGGAGGACGCTGGTGTGGTGGAGGAGGGAGTGTACTGGCGCCTTGAAGCGCGCTACCTGCAAGTGAGGGAGGGTGGGTTAGCGCCAGGGTCGCCAATAGCGCCTCAAAACGCAACTTTTCCTCCTCTCTTCGTGTCTCCTCCCTCTGAAGTTCCATCTCTCTGCGTCTCTCGTCCCGGTCGTCCATCCACTTCAGAATTGTGGCGATGTCCGTCACTGGAGGTGGAGGATGAGAGTCTGCGCCCGGTGGAGGGGAAGGTGGTGGGGAGTCGTGTCTCCCATCTTGACGTCCCTTCTTACCTCCCATCTTTGTGTGTGCGTGGACTGCACTGTTTAATATATAAAGTGGCGCCTCAACAGCTCGAACCACATATATATGACATAAACAGCGCAAAAATCACGCATATGGTCCACTGTTCTGTCCGTGAGTGAGTGCGTGCGTGCGTGCGTGTGTCTGAGAGAGCGGAGCGTGGTCCGGCAAGACCGTCAGTGTCCCCCGGATGTCGCATGAGAAGGGTGTACGCCTGCGTGCTCCGTGGGTACCACAAAAAACAGGCCACTGCTCAACTCAGCTCTAGACACACACTAATACATTGACACTAACACTGCCACCGTCACTAAAACGCACTGTGACGGCCCAACACTGCAGATCGCGGCGAAACACAGCGCAACACAACACAACACACTATGAGTCGACGCGCATCACCGGCAGACGTAACTGTCGGCATTGTTCACACACTTTGTAAGTCCACAGATCCTAGGCACTGCGCCATGAAAGTTACTAGTGTGCCCTGAAGAATGCAGTGATGGCTAGGGAAACACTGAGTAACACTAAGTCCGTTTATTATGGATGAGAGAAATACAAGTGGTGACTCGCGTGTGCCATGCATGGCCCACACAGTCAGACTGAGGCGCCTTGCCATATGGCAGCCTCGGGGCAATGTTGCCACATAACACGTGCAGTGTTGCCACGTGATTATATATATAAATGCTACTCGGCACAGTAGCTTATGTACAGGGTTGCTACTTGGCACAGTAGCTTATGTACAGGGTTGCTACTCGGCACAGTAGCTTAGATACATAACCTACAACCACATTTCACTAAATATGTCCTAGATCCACATACCTTGTCAATGACACCAGTTATCCACTTTGCATGTACAGTACCATAACCTTTAGCCATGTTCCTAACTCTCACCCTATCATTTACCTTGAACACTCTTTCACTGGAACTCTTATCATGATACATTTTTTGTTGAGCTTGTTTCCTCTCTACAACTTCAAACAGACTTGGCTTAACTAAACTTAATCTTGTCCTCAACTGTCTCTTCACCATTAACTCTGCAGGAGTACATCCTGTCACACTATGTGGCGTGGTTCTGTATCTGAGTAAGAAATTTGCTAGCCTGTGTTTCATTGATTTTCCTACAGTTCCTTGAATTACCTGCTTGGAAAGTGCTTCCTTTACAATTCTAACTGATCTCTCAGCTGCACCATTAGAGGCAGGATGATAGAGTGGGGTCAGTATATGCTTTACACCGTTGAATCTCATGAAGTTTTTAAACTCTGATGATTGGAATGGAGGACCATTGTCAGAAACTACCTCTTATGGTATTCCATGTTCGGCAAACATTAATCTTGTAGGTTATGTATATAAGCTACTGTGCCGGGTAGCAACCCTGTACATAAGCTACTGTGCCGAGTAGCATTTATATATATCATCACGTGGCACACTGCACGTTATGTGGCA